CAGCATTCGATTGGTTCCCGCCTTTAGGTCAAACCACAACTGGGAGGTAGGGGTATCTCAATGATTGGTGAGGAGTGCGCGGGCGCGCCAAGCAGTTGTACAGAAGCGGAACAAGCTGCTTAAGTTTCAGTTTGCTTAGGCCTCTCAAGGTCCCGTCCACAGGTTCTGGGGGGCCGTGCCTTGCGGCCGTACCCTGTCTCTCTCGGGGGGGCGGGGGCTACGACAGGTACCACAGCTGGGGGCCGTGGTCTCGGGGTCCTGCACACCTGTCGCCTGACAGACGGGCGGGGCGGGGCTGCGTTCCCTCCGGAGGCCGCAGGGACCGTGTCCCAGCTCCCGGGGGCTCCTTGGCGCGCGGCCGCAGCCCCCCGGTATCCACGCGGCCCCCCAACCCCCGCCGCGTCTGCGCGCGCCTGCTCCCACGACGGTCGGCTGGGGCGAGAGTCCTGGCGCGCGAACTTGGGGAGCGCCCCGCCCACCGGGCATGGCCTTCCGTTCTCGGAAACCGCAGGCGCCCGGCAGCTACTTCGTGCTCCCCAATCCCGGAAACTACGCGGTGAGGCTGAGGGCGCACGCGCGCTTCCGCCAAACCTGGAGCGACTGGAGCGCCGTCCGGCGCTTTGGTGAGTGGGGCGCCCTCTCACGACTCCCTGGCGGGCGCTCAACGCGGGGGGCGCCGCCCCGGGTCAGGGACGCACGGACCCTGGCGGGAGGCGTGCGCCAACAGGCCCCTGAAGAGGCGGCCTGGGAAGGCGAAGGGTGGGAGGAACCAGAGGGCGGGCGGACCCCCACCCCCAGCCCCCACCCCCGGGCTGGTGAGAGCAGAGCGTCCAGGGCAGAGGGGTCCTTCCCTTTTATCCCACACGTCAGGGCAGGGCCCAGGGCCTGAGCACAAGGCTGTCATCAAAGTAAGAGCGGCCACTTCTCCCTCAGCACGTTTGGAAACACACCCTCCCCTCCGGCTGCCCCCAAAACATCCCATTTCAGGGGTAACACGCAGGGAACCCCGGTCACTAGGGTCCTGGGGTTCCTGCTATAAATGACCGCACATGGCTGGGGAGGGGCTGGAAACAACAGAAATCTGTCCTTTCCCACCTCTGGAGATGGGAGGAAGTCTGAGATCCAGGCAGGCAGGGCCGCTGAGATCCAGGCAGGAGAGGATTACTG